GGTAGCTCTGTAGCATCACCATTAAAGAGTAATTAGCTGGTGAAGCAGATTTACTTATTGTAGAGTTAACAAAGTTATCACGTGCATTGAAATGTTCAAAGCAGATGTCATAACACATTAGTAGACCAGGACGATTTTAAAATGAGTGGTTCATTCATACCACTGCGTCTTAGTGACATGCAACTCTTGATGCTTTGGCTTCTTTTGAAATACTTTTTGTTTGCAAAGAATAATATACCTACTTATTGGCCATTTCTAAACCTAAATGACTTTATATTGACTTATTAATTTACGATTTACGACGGTTATATTGAATATCTGTTATATCAATCTGAATATCTTGAGATTGTGCTGATATTCAGTACAGCAGCACTCTTATTTGTGTGACATTGCTTAATTATTTTCTGATGTCAATAATATATGCTGAATTCATTTTGAAACACAGTACCTCTCTTTGGGAATCCCAGCCGACAGGACAAACGTCCACCACACAGGGAACGTGTTCTCGCGGTTTGGGTTCAGGGCACAGGTTTTGGTCAACCTCAGAATCCGATTCATGATGGGAGCGGATACACGACACTGTTCTCTGAGCCTCCCCGGGTCCACACACAGCCGAACACTCGCCAGGCTCAGACACCTGCCATCTACAACACTCACACACACACATATGCGCATGAATACACACACACACACACAACTGCAAGAATGAACAGCAATCATTTGAATGTTAAGGTGAACATTAAATCTAAATGGACCTGATGCCAATGTTATTTTAGGGCTGTTGATGCCCGAGACTGTCTAAATACATTTTCCGAGTCTCATAGTGATGGATTCATCTGTGCATTAAAAAATGTAATCTTTATAATCCTGTTCTTTAGACATTTCAGCTTTGGACTGTCTAACTTGCTGTCTAAGAGTGTAATTCTCACACACTTTTGCACGTTACCTGGCAGGACAGATTTGGGGGTTGCAGGTCTCAGTAGTTTGGGGTTTCGAGTCAAGCATACAGTCTGAGTCAGGCAGCTCTACTTTCACCATACCCTGCTTCTGAACACATGTGACAGAGCGCACTCGCTCTCCCACGCCATATTTATCATTTGATAACACCGCTGCAGGAAAAAAGGGGGACATTTCTTACATATAATTTTTTAACTGTATTGATTATTTCTTAGGACATGCTGTACTCAGATACAATATGAATGTCTGTCAAAGTAACAAATGCCACAACAAAGCAAATCCTTCCAGACTGATGCATTTAAATTGGCCATATTTTTAATAAATGAAAAAAAGAGTGGTTACATGGTTTACACCCCTAAATAGCACACATTCAAAAGTTTGGGGCCAGTAAGATTTCTGATAGAAATTTATACTTTTTTTCCAGCAAGGATGCCTTAAATTTATCAAAAGTGACAGTAAAGACCTCTATAAAATTAGAACAGATTTCTATTTCAAATAAATTATGTTTTTATGAACTTTCTATTCATCAGAGGGTCCTAATAAAATGTATCAGAGTTTCCACATTAGAATGATTTCTGAAGGATCATGTGACACTGAAGACTGGGGTAATGATGCTGAAAATTCAGCCTTACTATCACAGAACTAATTTACATTTTAAATTGTAATTATAATTGACCATATTTCAGTGAACTTTTCCACGACATTCTAGTTTATTGAGATGCACCTGTATATTTCATCAAATAAATGCAGCCTTGGTGAGCAGAAGTGATTATTCCAAATTCTGGATTTGTTCTGTATATGAAGTCTCTGTATCTTTAAAGTATCTTTATCGTTATATTTATAGTTCAGTCAGGATCTCTTAAGTCAAAAAGAACCCATAGACAAGCATTTAAATCGACTTTTTTATTAGCATGTTTACTAAAGTTACATTTGGCAGTATGGCTCTGTTCCAAGTTCCCGGTCCTTTTCATGAGCTCCATGAAAGCCAGGACAGGGAAACAGCAGTCACTTCAGGGGCAACCCTCCTATTTTAAGAATAGGAGAATAGCACAAAAAAGACCCCCAGAACAGAGCATGCAACAATGACAACAGAATGACAGTGTTTAAGTTAAGCACAGTTAAAGGAGGAGATGGGGAGGAGGTGGGTTGCAAGCAGCGTAATAGAGAAAGCAGCAAAGCAAGCAGACAGAAGCAGTGTTTAAGTAAGGCGCCCTGTTTGAGATTTGCCAATTGCAAGCTTAGGAGTCGGATCAGCTGATAGGGGCCGGGTTTCAATTTCTCCAGTCAGCTGATAGAGGAGCTTGACTACGAGGCCTGCCTGAACTAACGCAGGATGCTTAATTTATCGTCCTTGGTGTGAACAGGCCTTAATGCTTGTAAAATTAGTGACAGAATAGTAAAGAACATAGTTTTTATTCTAAACTATCTAACACTGAAATCTTCCACTGATTTCATTCTCTAAGATACACAACCACAAACCCTCTTATTCCATCATACAACACAATTTCAATGCTAAACTGTGCGTAAAAAACAGAATTTAGTTCTTCTAACAGGACTGACAACTGTATTCTGCTGAACGTAGCTATACTCACCAAGGTGTGTAAAAACCGGCTTCGTGTTAATCACATGCACCTGAGAGGCGTTCAGAGGAAGACTGAGGAATGTGACATACTCTTGAAAAGACAACAGGCAGAAAGAGGTTATTGTTCATATTTGAAAGCAAATGAATGGACAAATGACCTCTACTTACCTCCAACTTCTCCGCCTGAATAGGTGTTTGAGATGAACTGACAGGTGGAGCCATTACCCCCACACACCCCACACACATCCTCCATCTTCCCAGAATGCATTACTCCATCACAGCCAAACAGCTAACCCAGAAAGTAAACAGTATGGAGAAATGTACTTGTTTAATTATATTCATACTCTGTCCAATTTTACTCAAAAGGTGGTCGAAAACATTTCAGTACTATTAATACTGAAGTCCTCTGAATTTTCTTGAGTGAAACTCAAGATGGCACCAGTTGTGTTTGTATGGAAAAAAGGGGAAAAAAGTCAGTATGGAAGCTTATTTCTAACATAGAATAAAAAATAAAACTGGTAAACATCACTTTTTATCTCACAATTCTGACTTTATTCTTGAAATTATGAGTTTATATCTCATAATTCAGACTTTTTTTGAGATATAAACTCGCAGTTAAGCCCCGTTCACACCAAGAACGCTAACTATAAAGATAACGATATTAGCGTCCACACCAGCGAACGATATCGTCTGCCGCTTTAAATTCTCGAGCTCGTTACAGCAGGATGGATTCTGATTGGCTGTCAATTTTCAGGAGAAAAATCGGTTTGAAAGTGATTCGATATCGTTTCTCTTTGTCTTTATCGTTATAGTTGTGGTGTGGACTCTATTCTTTAATATTGAGAAAGATTTTTAGAACTATATCTTTACCGTTATCTTTATAGTTATCGTCCTTGGTGTGAACGGGCCTTTACAGAAAAAAAAGTTGCATTTACCTTTTTGATATTTTTATCCGATGGCGGAAACAAAAAAAGGAATTCTGAGAAAAAAAGTCAGAATTGTAAGTTGTAAACTCAGAATTCAGATAAATAAATTCTAAATTGTAAGATGTAAACTCAGAATCCAGAAAAAAGTCAGAATTGCGAGACAAACTCGCAATTGCATTATTTAGTTATATAGTTTTTTGTATCGTTTTTTTTTTATTGCGTGGCAGAAACAAGCTTCCATGCATAGGTAAGCGGTGTGATACGAGAGACGTGAAAGAAGCTCCGGCCTCAGGTTCCCGGATGAGCGGGTCTGTTATTCAGTGTTGTTATTGATGACAGTGGTTAATGGTGAATAACAGACCTCCAAATGTCACAACTCACAAATCCCAAAAAAAAGCTGTGTACTAAATAAGAAGTAAACTTAGTTGGCACTTACCTGGCACTTTCCACCCAGACAGGCAGAAATGGAACCACGTGGTACAGTATGACCAGCTTCACACCGCGTCCCATCGATGAACTGAGACCCACGACTCACCATGAAGTCCTGCTCACGTGAGCGACACAATAGTTTACACTGAGCATCACCTGGAAGGGAGAGAGAGACGTAAAGAACAGAGAAAACAACAAAAGACAAATTGAACAGGAAGATGTTTATGGGTGCACCTGCGCTGTAGCCGACAGCGGGGATCCAGGTGTAGACTGAGCTGGAGTCTGGAGACACCGACAGAGGCTGCTGGTCTGTGGCTGAGCACTGCTGAGACATGAACTCCAGCTGAGTCGACTCACAGGACTGGAACAAACAACAGCAAGACACGCATGTCACTTTAAACCATCAACTTGGTTTACTTCATTTTACAGGAAGCAATTTAAAGTTACGTTTTCAAGCTGTCTTGCATATAAACAGTAGCAAGTAATGAAAACAAGCTAGTTACTTAAAAATAGATTAAATATTTTACTTGTTTACTGCATTTTATGTTTACCACAACCTGCAAATTTGTTGTTGAGTTATTGAAATATTAACTTCAGGGCGTACTTCAAGCATATATTATAACAAATATAATTTATAACAAATATACCATTGCTAATTGTTAATTCATGTTTGTTTATATAATATATTGACTAATATTACTTTATACAGCTTGAATAGCTGAAATTTTATAGGTACATGCAAAAAATCAATGTACACTTCCCTTTAAAAGTCTGGGCTCTGTAAGATTTTTAAAAATGTTTTTGAAAGAAGTCTCTTATGCTGACCAAGGCTGCAATTATTTGATTAAAAATACAGAAAAAGAGTGAAATATTATAACAATTTAAAATTACTGCTTTTTATTTGAATATATTTTAAAATGTAATTTATTCCTGTGATCAAAGCTGAATTTTCAGCATCATTACTCCAGTCTTCAGTGTCACATGATCCTTCAGAAATCATTCAAATATGCTGATTTACTGCTCAGGAAACATTTCTAATTATTATCAATGTTGAAAACACTATACTTTTTGGAAAACAAGATCATTTTTT